ACTATAAATTTATATTTAAAATAAGGTAATAAAATTCAGGTTGGGTTTGGGTCGGGTTCACATGGACCTGGTCTCGACAGGTCTTGGACCCTTATGCGGACCCATGTCGGGTGTACTCGTTGGGTCTTGGGTCTTTGAGTCTAGATTGCTACACCTATTTTCTTACAACCGCTATAATATACCACTGAATGCCCTTAGAAGGAGTAACGTAGTTGTAAAGCACAAAATTGAATCTGAGGACGAGCCACAGATGGAGTGTCCCATGCATAGATCTACTCTTATAGAGCTATGCGATCACCTAGTTGATTATGTCATTTATTATTATGGCATAGTCAACTAGGTGATTGCATAGCTCAACAATAGTATCGAAATCTTGTCCCACGCATAGGTCTACTCATGGGTGTTGATTTACATGGGCTCTACATGTGAAATGGGATTTCGATACTCTTATGGAGCTATGCGATCACCTAGTTGATTATGCCATTTATTAAAATTTCAACACAATTTTGATATATGGCATAGTCAACTAGGTGATTGGGTAGCTCCACAACAGTATCAAAACCTTTTCCCATGTGTAGGTTTACTCGTGGGTGTGTTGATTTACATGGGCTTTCTAAGGGCTTTAGGTCGTATTCATCATGTTCCATCTGTGGCTCGTCCTCGGATTTAGTCCCGTGCCCTACAACTACATTACTCTTAGGGACATGCACTGATACATCGGGGCCGCTGTGGAAAAATATGTCGAGCATTTAGTAAGTATTGAAGCACATGTAATTTAATATATGTCAATGAAACATATATAGTTGAAATATATTATGGTATTTGTTAGTGCGTATTTTTGACGCTCTAATTCCACAATGCAAATAGAGGAGGCGGTTGCAACCCAGGTCTGTGGGAGCCAGTCACGCCTGTGGACTACGGAAGCCCTGCACACCAATAAGCCTAAGTTTGAAGAGCCTTAATAACGAGGTCCTTTCGACCCCAAATCAAGCACATGAGCTTCCTATGATGTTCTGAGGATGCCCTCCAAGTTTTGTCCAATTTGGGCCCAAATAGAAGAAACATGTACAAAATCAGTTTTTGGCTCAGGCTATTAGCATGATCGTGGTGCACCGTAGCTAGAACTCTACTAGTGTTCAAAAAAGGGGACCGCCCAGCGCCTAGGCGGTCCAGTAGGCTTGGGCGCATTGCCCTGGCCTAGGCGGCCAAACTGGGCGGTAGTCCCTGGGCAGCCACCTAGGTGGTATGGAACCCGCCTAGGCAGCCGCCTAGCGCCTAGCCTTGGATGGCCACCCAAGGACTGTGCCCTGCCTATGGGCGGAACTTTTTTTTTCTATTGATTGTTTTTTAAATATAAAGGGTTTCAAATGATAGGTTTTAGGTTCATTTGAAACCTAAACCTCCAAGAACCTATTTTAGAAAGAAAGAAACCTAAAGAAAACATCATTTTCTGACTTTCATTGGATTGAAGTGTTTCTCAAAGTTACGAAAAACGGATCCAAATATCACCCAGGTAGATTTGATTTAGTTTTGAATTTT